GAAGGGTATTTTATAATCAAGGAGAAGTTTAAAAATATTAAGCCATTTTGATGGATCTGGTATTCATAATACAGATAGCATGGCAAAAATATAAAACATTAGCATCAATAATTGATTGCATTGGAAGTATTTGGGTAACGGCTCAGTCTCTATTCAATGTTAACATAATATCATCAAAATAAATATGAAAAAGAAAAATCTCTTTTAAATCTGAGTTGCAACGTATACTTTCAGTTGGAAGGAAAGGCTTAACTCCAGTCTTAAAATGTGATTTTATTTTTTAAAGAAAACATGATTTTAGCAGATTTGTATCAAATCTTTCTCTTGTCTACTACACACACATATGCTTAAAATAGTATTAATAAGAGCATAGGTTTCACTTTTTTAAAGTTAATGAAATTTATGCCATGGAAACAGTTACGGTTTAATGAAAAGATAAGGTCTTTAGAGCCAGGAAGACCTGTGAGAACGCACATACTTGCTGTGTGACCTGGGTGAGTTTCTTAGTGACCCACCCCCACCCCCCCACCCCCGCCCCGCATCTGGGTATCTGTAAAACGGCGGTGACATCTGCTTCCATATACAGCATCTGGCAAAGAATAGTGGTTGAATGCACATTAGGATTTTTTTCCTTTCCCCAAGCAAAGTAAACATTAACTAGTGTCCTGGTTAATTATGGGCCTAGGGATTTTCCCGTTTGCAGCTTTAAAAGAGGAAGGCCAGCCAAGAAAAGTCCTTACCTAGTAAAGAAGATGCCAAGTGCTTGGTTTCTTCAAATAAACAATTTCTCTACCTCCAATTTACATGCTTTTTAAAAATTTTATTTATTTATTTTTAAGGATTTTATTTTTTTAAGTAACCTCTGCACCCAACATGGGGCTCAAACTTACGACCTTGAGATTGAGTCACATGCTCCATTGACTGAGCCGGCCAGGCGCCCCACTACATGGTTTTTCAAACTCTGATGATCAGGATCAAAAAGACAAATATTTTTTGGAATCTCAGTTGTAGACTCTCTTTCTTTGAGTTTTATGGGATAGTGGTGTTAGGGATCAGATTCTTTCAAATAAGGTGCATTTTTGTAATCGGCTTAGAAACACAGTGTGCAGAAGGAAACATGAAGGTGTGATTGCTTAGGTTCACATGTCAGGACTTGGCCTTTTTTGAAAAAAAAAAAAAAAGGGCTTTGTTAAGCTGTAATTCACATGCTCTACAGCTGACCTGTTTTAAATGTACAGTTCAGTGGTTTTCGGTACATTCAGGGTTGTGCAACCATTCCCACATCTAATACATTTTTACTAACCCAAAAAGAAACCCAGTGTCCTTAGTCATCAGCCCCCGATTCTCTCGCCCTTCTCCAGCCCCTGGAAATCACTAATCTGTCTTTTGTCTCTATGGACCTGCCTGCTGTGGACACTTCACATAAACAGAACCAAGGATGGCCTGCTGTGGCCCTTGGTGACTGGCTTCTTTCAGTGCTTTACCTGGTTAATCCTCTGTTTCGATAGCAGGTGAGGCTGCCAGAGGCTCTCGCTACAGGTTTCCTTCCCTCCCAGCAGTCTGCAGATAATGCAAGATAGTGAACTTCAAATGGCTTTTGAACTTACAGCAAAAAAGAAAGTGCAGCACCGTTTTCAGGGAATTTTGTTAACAGATATTTTGATGCACTGTTTAAACATGATGCTGCTTAAGATTTTTAAAATGGTTTTAATAAGATAATCCAAGCTCCACATATTCAAAAAATATCATTTGGTGTTCTGACTTATTTATATTCCCATGAAACGATCACCACAGTCAGGATAATGTACATTAGCTGTCATCTCCAAAAGTTTCCTTGTGTCTCCTCTGGGATGTTACTTGTTTTTGAAAAAATACGTATTAAATGAGATAATATTTAGGAGTCAGTGGTGAGAGGCAGTATGTGTGAAGGCTAGCTGGGGTGACCTCGTGTGTATGTCATCACTGTTTTCTCCTCTGTTAAATGAACATAGTTAATAGGAGCTACCTGCAGTGTTATGGTTGGTACTGGATTAATCTTTTTTTTTTTTTTTAAGATTTTGAGAGAGAAGAGAGAAAGCATGAGCAGGGGGGAAGGCAGAAGAAGAGGGAGAGGGAGAAGCAGATTCCCCACTGAGCAGGGAGCCCAATGTGGGGCTTGATCCCAGGACCCCTTGAGATCATGTTTGAGTGGAAGGCAGATGCTTAACTGACTGGGGCACCTAGGACCCCTCTGGTTGGTACCAGCTTAAACATTATTTTTGAAGAATAGTTAGTGCGGTATTTAGCACTCCATAAATGATAGCTCTTGTCAGTGTTATTTTGTGTTAAAGTGCTTGACATCCTCGATTCATCATCACTATCAGGTGCCTAGCATGAGGCTTGTAATACGTGGCAGCTTCCCAGGTGATATTCATTCCCTCCCTCTTTCCTCCTTCATTTTTGAAAAGGTCACCACATGACATTCATTATTCTACCAACTTTGAGAACTGATTTGAAAAATTTACACTCCTTTATCTTACAAGTTTCATCGAACACATGATGTGTTCATCACTGCCCTTTGCGTTGGGTACTGTGGGTGGTTCCAAGTTGAGTAAGACACGAGACACATCCTGTTTACCACAGTTTGGGCAGGATGTCCACGGAAAGTGCACGAACAAAGTGGCAGGGACGGTGGGTGCTGGAGTGATCATCCCTGTCTATGGAGACTCAGGGTACACAGATTAAGTTCTCAAAGGGATTAGAGGCAAGGCATTGTAACCTGAGAAACGGGATCAGTATTGTGCGGGGCTCTCAAGCGGTCCTGGTGTAGGTGGGACACAGGCCTGCAGGAGTTGGGTGAAACAGCTGGAAAGGAAGACTGGGGGTTCCACGGGTCGGCTTCCTCCTGGGCTGAGGAGGGGAGATGGGTTTTGTCAATCGGTGGAGAGTCTGTAAAATGTCCAGGGAGAGAGCTATACTTAAGTAGACTCTTTCTGAAGTGGCTCTTGTGTACGGATTGAGTGTGAGAGTAAGACAGGTGAGCAATCAGGGAGGACTTCAAAGTGTCTGGATAGTATTCAGGTTCTAAACTAGATTTATGGCTATGAGAAAAGAAACCAAGTAAAAGCGTCGAGTTGGTGCCTGACCAGTTGTCCAGGTTACGGTTTCTTTCCCCATCTGGAATACTTACACAGTGCCGACAGCACGACAGCCGCTCCTTCTCCAGTCCCCGCAACAGTGACGTGTGAGTACAGTTGTGCCCATTTTTCAGATGAGGAAACTAAAGTGTAGAGTGGCTAAGAGGCGGCTTTGCTGTCCTCCACCTCTGCTGCTCCTGCTCTTCCCCGGTCGCAGCCCTTGTCCCACTCAGACCATCTGTGACTTCTCGGCTCTCCTCCACTAGCATCTCCCCACACTTGCTCTGACTGCTGTCTCTGCTGGTCATCTGTCATCTGGGCAGCTGTTGTCACCCATTCTGGGTCATCATTTACACTCCAGAGGGGTTTTTCTTTAAACCTTACTTGGGACAAGTCTGTTTTTTTTTTTTTTTTTCCCGATTCATTTATTAGTGCGTATGTGCACATCAGGGGAGAGCAGAGGAAGAGAATCTCAAGCAGACTCCCTGCTAAGCACGGGTCAGATGCGGGGTGCAATCTCACGACCCTGAGATCATGACCGGAGCCAGAATCAGGAGTTGGGTGCTTAACTGACGGAGCCACTCAGACCGGTCTCTCCTCCATTGACTCCCCCTTTAGAATGCTTCCTGTCTCTGGGTGGACTACAGCATTCTTACTGTGTTCTGATCCTTTACAGATTTTCCCCTGTCCCCAAACGCCATGTTCCCGCTTGGCTCTGTGCCTTTGCTTGGGCATTTTCTGCACCTAAAACGACCTCCTTCCTTTTTTCTGGCATCATGAACTTCATCAGTTCTTCTGCAGCTCACACAGGCTCCTGTGTCCGATGCTTTTGGCGCCTGGGCCCTTCATTCCTTCTCATTGGCTGTCGCACATCTTGTATGTCCCCTAATTACCCGATGCCACATTCCCTCTGTATTGATTTGCAGCAACTTACAAATATACGTAGGGGAGTCAAAACCTGACGGATGAACGTAGGAGAGCAAGTGCACCGTCAGTGCAGAGAAATGCAGGCACGATCAAAGTCGGTGGAGCAAGTCTTGAACACACGTCCTGTCCGTGCCCTGTCCGTGCGGGGCCGGGCCGCGAAGCACCTTGCCCCGAGGGACCCTGGGCGCCCTAGAGCGTTAGTGTCAGAGCGAATGGGTTAGACGGGGGGGGGGGAGGGGGGGGGGTCCTACGGGACAGCGGGGGGGGGGGGGGCAGAGGTTTAGGGCCGCCTTCCGCCCGGGGCGTGACCCTGGGGACCCGGGATCGGGCTCCCTGCAGGGAGCCTGCTTCTCCCTCCGCCTGGGTCTCTGCCTCTCTCTCTCCCTGTGTCTCTCATGAATGAATAAAATCTTAAAAAGAAAAGAAGGCAACGGTTTTCTAAGCGCCAACTGACCCTGAGGCGGACGTGCTGCTTGATCCCGCCGCCGCGGAGCGTGAAGGCCCCCGGAGGCAGCAGTAGGGCTGCTGTGCCGCGGGGACTGCGTCGCCCCACCCGCCGCGGCCCGGGGAGCGCCCTCGGGGACCCCGCGGCTCCCAGTCGGCCCCAGGGTCCCAGTCGGAGGAGGCGGCCCTGCCTGCCCGAACGGGGCTGCACATCTTCCCGAGGCCGCGGTGGGGTGGGGGTGGGGGGTGGGGGGCTTTGCCGTGGGCCGAGCAGCCCAGCCGAGGCCCAGGCGCACGTGTCACTCGGCTGCGCTGCCCGCGCCCTCGGCTCAGCTTCCCTGGGCAGCGCGTGCGCGCTCACGTGCCAAGCAGAACTCCCACCGCCCTCCTCCCCCACGCCATCCCCCCCCCCCCCCCCCCGCTCTCCCTCCTCCCCCTGCCCCCCTCCTCCCCCTGCCCCCCTCCTCCCCCCCCCCCCCCCACCGCCTTTCTTTGTCTCTCCCGCCGCTGCAGGAACTCGACAAGGAGCTCCCGGTGCTGCGGCCCTACTTCGTCGACCGCCCCGAGGCCGCGGGGGTGAGCGGGGCGGGCCTGCGGGTCACGTGGCTGGGCCACGCCACGGTCCTGGTGGAGATGGACGGGCTGGTGCTCCTCACCGACCCGGTGTTCAGCCCGCGCGCCTCCCCGTGGCAGCGCGTGGGGCCGCGGCGCTTCCGGCGGGCGCCCTGCTCGGTGGCCGAGCTGCCCGCGGTGCACGCCGTCGTCCTCAGCCACAACCACTACGACCACCTGGACTGCGGCTCGGTGCGCGCGCTCAACGAGCGCTTCGGGCCCGAGCTCCGCTGGTTTGTGCCCCTGGGCCTCCTGGACTGGATGCAGAAGTGCGGCTGCGAGAACGTGATCGAGCTGGACTGGTGGGAGGAGAACTGCGTGCCCGGGCACGACAGCGTCACCTTCGTCTTCACGCCCGCCCAGCACTGGTGCAAGAGGACCCTCCTGGACGACAACAGGGTTCTGTGGGGCAGCTGGGCCGTCCTGGGGCCTTGGAGCCGGTTCTTTTTCGCTGGAGACACTGGCTACTGCTCAGCTTTCGAAGAGATAGGAAGGAGGTTTGGCCCTTTTGACCTGGCAGCTATTCCCATCGGAGCGTACGAACCGAGGTGTGTAGACGCGGCTCCGGAGCTCTAAAGCACTTGCGAGCTGGGGATGTCCTGTGAGGTCATCTGTGACTTTTTTTTTTTAAGATTTTTTTTACTTATTAGAGACACACACAGAGAGAGGCAGAGACACAGGCAGAGGGGGAAGCAGGCTGCATGCAGGGAGCCCGACGCGGGTCTCGACCCCGAGACCCGGGGGTCACCACCTGGGCCGAAGGTGGCGCTAAACCGCTGGGCCACCCAGGCTGCCCTCAGCGGATTTTCTTAATCTATTAAAGCATCTTATTTGTAATTATGAAATTTTTTCCTTTGTCACAATATATAAAGATCATATATATAGTGATGATCTAATGTGTACAGGTTATGCAAATCCCTCACAGAATTCCCCTTTGCTGCTTGCATTGCAGCTGTCTTGTTACTAAACTGGGAGAAGGCCAGGAGCACAGAATTTGCTTTAAGAGAATTAAACTGTGGGAGCCTCTACTGTGTAATCCATTTCTTTGGCCAGTACTAACAGTTTTAGAAATAAGAATATCAATGAAATTTAAGAGTATTCTATAAATGTGCAACCATTACACCAACACAGCTTTCAATAGTATCCCTGTGGGGGAATCTCCTCTCACTGTATTCTATCCAAGCTGGTTAGGAAGTTTTGTTTTTATGTATTTTTTGTTGTTTTATTAAAAAGTAAGCTTGTGCCCAACATGGATCTTAAACTCACGACCCCAAGATGAAGAGTCATAAGCTCTACTAACTGAGCCTGCCAAGTGCCGTAGGATGTTGTTTTTATTGTAACTTTCACACCAAAATAAAAAAATTTAAGTTATTTCATATAGACATGAAGGTAGAAAGGCATATGTCCATCCCTTTGATTTGCTATAGGACTTAAAAAAGAAATCAATAGAAATACCAAAAACTATCTGCATCTTGTCCTGTATTCCCAGTGTCAGGACACAGGGTGAACAGTGCTTCTCTAATCTGCTGTTGAGTAGAACACAGTGGCTTTGTTTCTAGGTTCCCATGGGGCCGGCAGCTTCTAACAGTAAATAACAACCTTTTAGCTCTTGCAGATGGATGAACTTTTCCATGGTGTGTTCTAAAAAATGCAGAAGCACCTGTTGAATCTGGGTCCATGAGTCTTAACCGCAGCAGAGCGGGCAGCAGCAGAGCTGAGATACACATTCCCAGCAGTGGGTAAGGCTGGGGTCCACAGGCCCCTGCCTCCTGAGCTCTGCTCTTCCGTAGGCATCGGGCAGCCTTAGGGCAGTTTCCACACTCTCTCCCCATAATCCCCCTACTCTATCCTCTTCTTGCTGAATCCTGCACCTCACTGTTCACTTGTATTTTTATTTATTTTTTTATTATTTTATTTTTTATTTATTTATGATAGTCACACAGAGAGAGAGAGAGAGAGAGAGAGAGGCAGAGACACAGGCAGAGGGAGAAGCAGGCTCCATGCACTGGGAGCCCGACGTGGGATTCGATCCCGGTTCTCCAGGATCGCGCCCTGGGCCAAAGTCAGGCGCTAAACCGCTGTGCCACCCAGGGATCCCCACTTGTATCATTTTTAAATAAAACCCTTGAATAGTATTTTTTTCCTCCCAGTCTTTAGCCTGTCCTACACTAAGTTTGGTTTGCTTTTTGCTTTAGCAAGTTAAAAAAAAAATAGTTTCGGTAAGTTATCAGGTTCTCTTTTGGTTTTTAGTTCTTTACCCATTATTTAATTTCTTTGATTCATACCAGGATTGTAAAATATCTACTTTTTAAAAATAACAGTAAGACAGATCTTCAGAATAAATGGTCAGTAAAATCAAAGACCCGTGAAACATCTTGCCTTCCAAAGGGGAGTTTGGCTTGAGACTTAGCTATTGCATAGCAGTTTGTATTAGATTTTTCTTATTTTGTTTCCAGCAGAAGAGTGACTCAAAAGAGATGGTTTTGCCTGTCTTACTCTTGTGCAGAACCTTTAAAGGTTGATTAGATGAAGTAGCAATTAGAATTTATATTTCAAAACCAGAATTAATAAATTGCTATTTTATCAGGTGGTTTATGAAATACCAGCACGTGGACCCAGAAGAAGCTGTGAGGATTCACATTGACGTTCAAACAAAGAAATCTGTGGCTATTCACTGGGGGACTTTTGCCTTAGCAAATGAGGTGAGTGACTGTGATAAAAATAACTTTGGTTACGTGTTGGACCTGAAAGGGTTCAGGCATCAGCACACCCTACATGCAGTGTGCTCAGAGACCAGACTGAAATCAGAACCTGCACGGTCCTACGTGAATTAGAGGGATTGATCACTTTTATTAGAAAAACAGTATTTATATACAGTAAAAAACATAACCCCTCAGTACATGCTGTGCTTTTGGCTTATTTCTGTAAATGAAGCATCATTTATAGAACAAAAAATGTGTATAGTCTTGGAAAATAGGGAAATGAACCGATTAGGTCTTCCCTCTCAAGGGGGCATTTATTCTAGCAGAAGATGTAAGGTGTGTACATAACTCTAAAACAGGTGTTGATAGAAGTGCTTTGCAGTGGGACAAAGTGGTCTCATGACTCATGGACTGTCACTGATTTGGAGGGGGTGGGGAGGGACGGCTTCATGGAAGAGGTGACATCTGAACTTGGCTGTGAGAAGGCAGGAAGGCATTTCAAGAAGAGGAAGGGGAGGGAATAGGCTTGGAGGTAGCAAGCAAAGGGGGTGTAGTGAAGAATTGGTTCAGCCAGAGTATGGATGTGACATGAGGGCCATGGGGGAAGTAAGGCTGGACAGTTTGGGACTTTTTAGGAATATGTTATTCTTCCAGTAATGAACAGTGATGGAGTGCTGCGTGCCAGGTGTTGGGATAAATGGTGGTTTTTCTCCCTAGACTAACACAGAAAAACTGATTTTTTTTTTTCCCCTTTAGGTAGTTGAATCCTAGAACTTAGCTATCAGCCAGGGTTCTGGGATAAGCAGAGCGATAGCAAAAAAAAACATCTTTTCTGGATCCAGGGTCTGCCCTAAGCAAAATTTAGAAACGGGTGGTTGAACTTGGCTTCTACTTTGCTTTGTGTGGCCTCTTCCCCACCCCAGGGCCGCTCTGCAGCAACCCTGTTTCCAGGCTGTTCCTAGGCACTCCCTCTGCCCTATTTCTGGCCTGCTCTCTCCCTAACTTGTTCCGTAGTTACCTAACACACTGCCTGCCCACTCCCTCTGGCCCCGTCAGAATTCCCACCCCACGATGCAGCAGCCTTTGAGCCAAGCAACAGAGGGGATGGAATGGAGTGAATAAATGAAGGACCCCAGGGCCAGGGAGGATGAATAACAGGATGATGCGTGTGTACGTGAAGGGGGAATTGGGTACTGGTTTCCTGTGACCTGCCCTACCATTTGGTGGCAGTGTCTTATTGTTTGTGTGTGTATCATGTGCATCCATTCCACGTATATAGATCTAGATATGTGTGTGTATGTTCCATATATTATCTACACAGAGACTTTTATGAAGTCCTACTACTTTATTAAATCTGTTCAAAGATGGGGCACCTGGGTGGCTCAGTGGTTGAACGTTTTCCTTTGGCTCAGGGCGTGAACCCCGGGGTCCTGGGATCGAGCCCCACATTGGGCTCCCCACAGGGAGCCTGCTTCTCCCTCTGTCTAGGTCTCTGCCTCTGTCTCTCATGAATGAATAAAACCTTTAAAAAACAATTAAGGGATCCCTGGGTGGCGCAGCGGTTTGGTGCCTGCCTTTGGCCCAGGGCGCGATCCTGGAGACCCGGGATCGAATCCCACGTCGGGCTCCCGGTGCATGGAGCCTGCTTCTCCCTCTGCCTGTGTCTCTGCCTCTCTCTCTCTCTCTGTGTGGCTATCATAAATAAATAAAAATTTAAAAAAAATAAAAAAAAATAAAGAAAAATTAAAACCCCGTTCAAAGAGAAGAATCAGGATGATTCCTAGACTTTTAACAAGTCATTGGGAAGATGGTCATGCTCTTTACTGAGATGGGGAAGAGGAGAGGCTAGAAATCTTTTTCTCTTTCTTTCTTTCTTTCTTTCTTTCTTTCTTTCTTCTTTCTTTCTTTCTTTCTTTCTTTCTTTCTTTCTTTCTTTCTTTCTTCTTTCTTTCTTTCTTTTTCTTTCTTTCTCTTCTTTCTTTCTCCACCTTTCTTAATGAAACCTGTAACTCAATCATAAGTCTTAGCAATTTAGAATGTGTTCATACTTTGACATTAGATGCATAAACCTGAAAACTATGAGTTTGTTAAATTATAAAGATGACAGAATTTGGGGGTATTTACCCTATGAGTAAGCACTGTAAAATGATTTACATAAAAGTAGTTCTAATAGCTGCTTACTAGACAGCAGACTGAAGAGGTCTTTAACTTGGCAACACTGAAAAATTGTGTGTTGGTTTCCTGTGACCTGCCCTACCATTCAGTGGTAGTTTCTTATTCTGTGTGTGTATCGTGTATACACACACACACATATATAGCAAAATTTAATTTATCTCAGTAATTATGAATGAGTTTCCTACATGATGAATTTAAGCACTAAGACTTAAAAATTTACTGGTTTTGGTGGAAACAAATTTCAGGCATCACAGAAGATATGTAACTTTTGAACATATCCTATTGGAGTAGATCATAAAAGAGTGACCCTCTAAAGGGAATTTATGAGTTGTCTGGGCTGCTTCCCTAGTGCCGGGCACTTCCTCTACTCCTTCACTCTTACCTCTCTAATCTGCTGTCTTGCTGTATGGCTCTAGGGCATTTCCACCTCCCTCGTGGGACTGAAGTATACTTGCACAATGAGATTGCTATCAGTCACTCAGAAGGCTTTCTTGCCTTCTAAGGTTACTTCTAGATGGCCGAAATACCCAACAGACCCATGAAGAAACTCAGATAATGCAACGTCAAAATCCACACTAAATCAGAGCCAATTAAGTGATTGATGAGCTACGAAAAGTACTAGTGTAGGGTGATTGTATAAGGGTGTCATTGTCCAAGACTCATAGGGCATTGGGGTGTGCATGAGGTGTGTGTGTGTGTGAATTAATTAACAAAGCACGTTATTTTTCAGTGGGAAATTTCATCCTTTTCAATCCCCTCATACTAACATTTTGAAAGGGAAATGCTTTGACTTAGGTTGTCAAAGTTAAAGTTACACTTTATGGGTGATCTATTAGTAATTTCCTATATGATTCAGAAGCGTACAAGGGAGGAGACCCACATGGCCAATACCTACCTGACAGACCACCTTTCTTAGGCCACAGAAAACTTTCCTGATTTTCCTAGTGCATCACTGGCTGTCCCTTTTTGGTCACTGCTAGTTCCCCTCCTGGGGAGTGCCCTTGACTCCATCTGGGCCTCTTCCCTACTGGGTCACTCCCTTGAATAGGGATCTTTTCAGTCTTATGGCCAGTGGTCCGTTGTACCTTTCACTCCCAAGTCTCTCCATAATCCATGTTTATATATCCAGCTGCCCACTTGACATCTCCACCTGGATGTCCATTAGGTACCAAAAACTTGAGTTCTGATCTTCCTTCAGAATTTTTACTTCTCAGAAAATGGTTCTTGTGACTCAGGTCAGAACCAGGACTTCTGTCCCCCATCCTGTTTTCCCTGCATGCAGTCAGCTCAACCTTCAGAATATGTATTTTTAAGTAATCTCTACCCCCAACATGGGACTTGAACTCATGACCCCAAGATTGAGAGAGTCACATGCTCTACTAAGCCAGCCAGCCCCCACCCCCCACCCCCGAATATTTCAGATTTGGACTAGTTTTCACAATTTGACTATTTCTACTCTGTCGTTTCCAGTCTGTTCTCAACACTCTCAAGGGCAGTGACCTTTATGCCTTCAATGTGGTCAGCTTCCCTCCTATTTGGCTCCCACAACTGCTGGCAAAGCCCCATGCAGTCCTGCTCCAGGTCTTGGGTCAAACATGGCCTTCTCATAGAGGATCTCCTAGCCTGTGGTATTTTTTTAATTTTTTTCAAAAAGATCTTATTTCGGGGCACCTGGGTGGCTCAGTGGTTGAGCATCTGCCTTTGGCTAGGTCGTGATCGTGGGTCCTGGGATCGAGTCCCACATTGGGCTCCTCACAGGGAGCCTGTTTCTCTTTCTATGTCTCTGCTTCTCTGTGCCTCTCATGAATAAACAAAATCTTTTTTTTAAAAAAGGATTTTATTTATTTGACAGAGAGAGGGCATAAGCAGGGGGAGCGGGAGCAGAAGGCTCCCCACTGAACAAGGAGCCCAACACGGAGATGGATCCTAGGACCCTGAGATCATGACTTGAGCCTAAGGCAGACACTTAACTGACTGAGCCACCATATATCAATGGTATAGCCTGTGGTATTTAAAATTAAAGCTCCATCCACATTTATCACCCCTCTGTATTTTCTCCCCACATTGTGTTAACCACTCTGAGAACATCTTCTTATCCATTTCTTATTCCCATTTTGTTCTATTATTAGAACATAGGCTACTCCAGATAGGCACTCTGAAGACAGTTGTTGTAGGATGGGTAGAGGCCGACCGACCACTGGCCATAGGATCAGAGACTGATTTTTATTCCTACTTTATGCTTCCACACTTTACAGCTTTTCTCATTGAAACGGAGAAAAAAAAAGAACCCCTGAATAAAGGAAAAAGGAGACAAAGGGATATGGGGAAAGTCTGTCTTAGCTCTGTTCTCTGGGTCCTTCGTACACTCCGTAGACTACAGTGTCAGTCAGTACTTGGCTAGCATTTGAGGGTAACAGCCTTCTATGAGCCAGAAGCTTTTCTCCAGCATTTGCTTATACACACCCTCTTACTTATAACTTAAGCTTCTGTGTTCCTCAAGGGTGTGGTAAAATCTCATTCTATAATACTGTCTTTGGCACATTGATTCCATTTAGATCAGGATTTCATGTAGTGAAACTGATCAGATTTCATGCAATCTCATGACGTTCAATCTAAGTTGGTACCACATTTGACATTCGTGATATCTAGATAGATTGGGAAGTATGCTATTTCTGTTGGCTTTATTAAGGAGTTTTTTTTTTAAATTTTATTTATTCATAAGAGAGAGAGGCATAGGCAGAGGGTGAAGAGGCTCCCTGCAGGGAGCCGGATGCAAAACTTGATCCCATGACTCTAGAATCACGCCCTGAGCCAAAGGCAGACGGATGCTCAACCACTGAGCCACCCAGGTGCCTCTATTAATGATCCTTGATTAGAAGCCATGATCGACTTATTTGGTAATGCTTGAATGAAAAGGACATTATTTTAAGCAGGCATATGTTGGTTATTTTAGCTTCAACTCTTACTTGAAATATCCCCCAAATATATGCATGGTTAATCCTTTTCCATTTTTCCCTGTCTGCCCTCTGCCAGCATTACTTAGAGCCCCCAGTGAAGCTGAGTGAGGCTCTAGGAAGATACGGACTTAACTCGGAAGATTTTTTTGTCTTGAAGCATGGAGAATCCAGATACCTCAATGCCGATGAGGAAAACTGAATAAATGTGAGCACAGGAGCTATTAGTGACTAAGGTATCCTCTAAGAAAGACCAAGGAATTCCTGAATATGAGGATTTTTTTTTACATTGGGAAACAACTTCTGCAAATTAGTGTTTTATGTTTTGCGTGGTAACTTGCTTGCTCCTCCGACTCCCAGTTCATACAGAGAAGAAGAGTTCAGAGGTGGGTCATTTCCATAATGAATTGGTGACGGGAGATTAAAATCCTGTCTCAATGGTATAAGCATTGCAATGGAACTATTTTTTAACAAAAGCACTATACTTTAGTGGTAGAATTTGGAAGTTAAGAAAACTGATTTTTGAGGTCTTATTTTTGTTCTTCTGGTTAAGGGCCTCCTGCAAGATTGAGTTTACCTAGCTAGACTGTTCCAGAGGCTTGCGCATAGAAACCCGCTTCTTGTATTCCCAGTAGAGAATGTGGTGAAATCGACAGCCACCTGCTTACAGCAGCTCTCCTTGCTCTGTCAGGATTAGCTTATATGCCAAATGTGAAGTGATTTATTTTTTTAAGCATAGAAACATAGGTTGGGCTAGGTTCCCATTTTTAAAGACTTAATTTTTAAAAAGAGGAGTATTTTCTGTTGCACGTCTACAATCCCTAAATCAGAAGTGGAGCTGGGCAGAGGCAGGGAAAAGGGGGTGGTTATGAGGACATGATTGGTGACATTTTCTATTTTTAATTTAAAAGACCTGCTAAGCACAAAGATAGCTGCAAGGAAATATTTTATAAAGATAAATGCAGATCTTAAAATGTTAATAATTCTCTGCATTCCATTTTCTCTCCATCTGCTCATTTCTCCCACTCATTTCATAGCTCCAACCCTGAATATATCAATAAGGTCTATAAATATTTTATGTTTTACAGGATTCAGATGGCTTATATTTTTATATTAAATGACCTCTAAGCATGATTCTACTTTGGCTAAGCTAGTAATACTAGCAATTAAAAGAAAAATGGTGATTTTTTTGAGAATTAGCTGACTTGAGTTTAGTCCTTTAAGGGCTCTCTGGCTGCTTGACTGCTCTGAATCTTCCATGAGAGCCGATCAGATACATTGGAGGCCCATCCTGTCTTTCTGCTCCACAGTCTCGGTGAGGTAAACTTTATTCACACAAAATAATCAAAATAGGTTTTCTACACCAAATGCTACCCAGCAGTATCCTATTTTCACATAGTATATATGCACGCCACCTGTTAGCCACTTAATCTCAATTTGAGTCCCTCCACCATGGATCCCGCCATATGTCACCTATGCGCACTGTGCCTCAGTTTCCTCACGTACAAGAGGACAATTTTGACCTACCTCCAAAAAATGTGAATAGTGATTTTTTTTTTAAAGCACTTTGAAAATATAAGGGAGAAAACTATTTCTTAAGACATCACTGCCTAATATAGATCAGTAAATCTGAAAGCTGAAAATAGGCTCGTGCTTTTGAATAGTGCATTATTCCTGCTGCAGAGTCCACCATATATATTTAGGGCACGAAACACTGAGGACTGACAACTTTATCTCCTTTTGTAAATTTGAAGAGTCACAGACAAAATAAATGTAAATGATCATTTATGAAAATTTAGCATTTTTATCTTACAAAGATGCAAATCAGCCAAGGGGAAATGTGTATATAATGAAGTGAATGTATGTGATTTGGGGCACTAAAGCAGAAAAAATTTACCCATAAAATAACCTTCAGGAAAAAAAAAAGCTGAATCACCATAAACCTTTTCACTCCAAAGGAACATTCTAGCAAGCAGATGGGAATGGAGGTGTTAGGTTGAGGGTGGATTAGCTGGCGGTGGTGGGGGCTGCTGGCGCCCTAGTACTACCCCGTGTGGTCACCTTCCTTGCTGTTGCCCGCCACACTGAAAATTCATCTCTTACCTCTGCTTTGTGAAGACCAAGTTCATCTTAATTTGTCTTCTCCATGAATGGCCTTAACATTATTTCTGTATTCACAGAAACTAACTGCAGGTCTCTGAGCACTTTAAATCATGTTACAGTTCATTTAATAAAAGGCCTGCCTTTTTCTAGGCCTTCTCAGAAGCTTTAATTTTTATTACCATTCACATTCTTTCTACACTGACATCTTGTTTGTGAAGAAGTATGTGGAGCTTCATGTTTCCTCGTAGAATCATGTGCAGTTTGTGTGGTTTCAGTTTTTTCACTTAGCTACATTTTTGCAGGGTTTATGTATAAAGCAAAATCAAATTTTGAAAAGTAAGCCAAATCCACTCTCTTGCGTCCATTCAGTCTAACATAGGGTATAATGCCTTTTACTTGGTCTTACCTGATCAGTTTCATTTTGCTCTCCGGTTAGCCAGCACCCATTCGAACCTGTGAGATCTTACGGACAGTCCCTTCCTCCTGTAGTAAGTGATGGACACCCAGAGATTGGTTCTTCCTTGCCCAGAGGGTCGGATCACTCACTGTGGGGGGAATACCACCCAATAAAAGCCAAGATGTGCCATGACCTACATAGATCAGGAATTCTTTGTGCACTTTGACTTTGTAATTTTTTAGGAAGTTAAAAATGACTCGCCTTTTATCTAACATTTTGACATTTCAAACTCCATGCTCTGAACCCCAGGAACTGGGATTATCTCAAACTAAAGACGGAGGAAAAGAAATGGCGTTTTAGAATCCAGTGCTGCTGAAGCACATCAAATCCTAGTTTTTACTCATGCATACATTTGTGTTTTCATAAAGAGGCAGATTAAAAAATTCGTTATAAAGGAATGTGCCTTTCAGGGAATTAGGACTTTTATTTATCAGTGATGCAAACCTTGCCAGCATATACACATTACTACCGTAGCCAGCTGGGAACTAACATGTTTTCACCTTAATACGGAATCTTTTCTACTGTAAAAAATATTTCTTGCAAGTTTGATTTCTGTATCAGGCTAACCCTGGAAATACACACATTTTTCTGTTTGAGGATTTGTGACTTCCTATGGAAATCCATGTATTTACAAATGAAATTTAAAGTACTTGTACAGCTTTGCCTTAAATACCTGGAGTAGGAAAGCTGCTTGCATATGGATTTACCTAATACTAAGCATGGTGATGGTTATGAACTTGAATATTATAAAACCTGGCTGAATTGAAATCTATTAATATTTTTATTCCATAAGCTATTGTGACAATGATTACAATTAAAATATACAAAAAGCTAAGTAAAATATGGATGAATATTAATAAAGTACTATCAAGAGAAAGCACATAAACTTGTTTTTTCTTTTTTATTTAAAAAATTATAAAATTCATGCTGACAGTTAAAAAATTCAAATGGTAGAAGGTGTACATAGGAAAGCTCCTTCCTTCATCCCACTCCCAGAAATCAATCTCTCTGGATATAAGCATAAATAGTTTTCATTTAAAAAAAAACCCAGCCATTTCCTGGATGCCTTTCCACATGAGCACATTCAGACTCCTTATTTAAGATGAGAGAACTGATTTAACCAGTTGCCTATGGACGGAGTCACACGCTGCATCTTCAGAGGCTGGCCTACGGAAAGGGAGTGGTGAGGGCGAGGAGACACATGGACTCAGAATAAACTCTCATGATGAGAAGAGACTTTTGGAAGCAGTATGGCTGGGCTGGCCTGCGGCCCTGCAGCAACCACCCAGTCACACATGAAGGCAGGTGACAGCACAGCACTTCCAAGGACGCAAGGTTAGCTGACATGTAAATAAGGCAACTGTCGCGTCACATTAAGGAAATAATTGAAGTAATCTTGGCAAACAGCAAAATGAAAAGAAAAGGGTGTTAGAAAAAGCTCTTCAGTTCATTTGGTATCAATCAAATGGTTCAAAACTGGCTCAAAATAAGCCACAAGACCATGGCAGGTTCTAGCTGGGTTAATAATGAAATGTGGTATTTACTGTTTAAGATTCTGCAGCTGGCAGATGAAAACTAGTCAGAACCTGGGTATGACTGTTACCTTTTCCTTCACGTCTGCATCATGGTGTTTGGCTAAGGCCCTCATTTTCTGGGCACACTCTTCTCCATATAACAGGAAGAACAGGGAACCTTTAGGGAAAGTAGGCTGAACAGCTAAAGAACCTTTTTCGAGGCAGTTGTTTATATTCTGAGATAGCGTCAGGACTCGAAGAAGAATCTCCTTTGCCACGTGGCCGTCATAAAGGGAAAGGAATGAGGAATCCACCTGCAAGAGGAAACCAGGAGTATTATTTTAATAAATAACAAAAAGATTCTTCAGGTATATTTTTGCATTTTAAAACTGTATCAAATACATTAAAAAAAAATCTGGTCATAGAAAATTATCCCTAAAATCCTCTAATCTAAATGTAAAATATGAGGCACCCCTACACTATACGCTAATGGAAAAAAGGTCTGTTTTAGCTAAAAATAGGATTCTCTTGGGAGTGCTAGAAGGCAGTCATTTGGAAAAATACCCACATCCTTTTAAGGCCCTCCTAGTCTCCCTGGGGATCATGGATCCCCCAGAGCTGTCCTGTGTGGGCGCAGAGCTGGGGCACCGGGACGAGCCGCTCAGTCCAGCAGGTCCCGCCTTCACAGAAGTAGAGGCCTGTTCTGTGTCAGTACCACCTTCGCTTTCTTCAAAAACACTTATCACAGCTTTTAATTATTGTGTTCGTTTGTTACATATTTTTTTTTTTGTCTCTTTTCATAAGCTCTGTGAGGCCCAGCACTGTGTCATGTGTGCTCACTGGTGTGTCCTGGCATTCGGCTCAGTGTGTGGCACATCCATCAGTAAAGACTAGTGTCTGAGCAGACGTGGAAGACGTATGTGAACACGTCAAAGGGAAAAGGTATGGTCACATACGTGTGGCCCAAAGTGGATCAACAGAACAATTATAATTTATTGTTGCTAGGGAAGACTTTCCCAAAATGATTCTTTAAAATATGTTTGTTACAGACAATTTAGGAAATTTGTGTAGACAAAAAGAACCAAAACAACAATAACAAACCCCCCTGTGCTCCTCACTGATAGTCTGTTAATATTTTGGGATAAATCTTTCTATATCTGTCCAAATCCATTTATTTTTGTATACTTATAAAACAAGTATGTGAGCTACTTACTTGGGCACCAAGTAGTACCTCTGTCATGGCTGGATTTTCAGACAAATTCACAAGCAGTTTCAAAACTTGAACCTGAAATAAGAATCATACGGGTTTATTTCAGACCAGCGAGCATGGATTTGCTCTCCCCGGCACCCTGTTCTCTTAGCGTGTCCACGTTTCAAAGTCCTGCCTGGGCTTCACGGTCTGGCTCAAATTCTCTACCCCATGGAGCCCTCTCCTCTACAACACTGGCACACAGCAGGGTTATTGAAACTAAATTTCCAGCTACATTATTAAGGGAGAAGATGGTGAGTATCTCAATGTCCACCCGCCTCACCCCTAAACCGTTACATAAATGATCTTTATTACAATTACTGGTAAGTGAAATATGATCTTTGGAACAAAAAAGGAATCTCTCAAAGCTCAGTTTATTTCTATTTAAAGTATGGAAATTTTGGAACAGTCTGGTTACCAAGACTAGATAAAAATATGGCTCTTTACTTTTTAGTAGGTTACTATGAACCTTTGAGCTTATCTTTTTTTAATGTGAAAAATGTTTTAAAATCTTTTTTTTTTTTAAATTTTTATTTATTTATGATAGTCACACACACACACACACAGAGAGAGAGAGAGGCAGAGACACAGGCAGAGGGAGAAGCAGGCTCCATGCACCGGGAGCCCGACGTGGGATTCAATCCCGGGTCTCCAGGATCGCGCCCTGGGCCAAAGGCAGGCGCTAAACCGCTGCGCCACCCAGGGATCCCTAAAATCTTTTAAATAGGCAGTGACATAAATAATTGGCAACAAATGTTAACTTAGAGCTGACTAGCTAAAATATCTGCATTCCTTTCACTTATAATCAGTCAGTGCAGTAGCCCCCCTCATCTGCAGGGGATACATCCCAAGACCCCCAGAACATGCCTAAAACCATGGATAATATCCAGCCCCACATACACTATGCCTTTTCCTATACATACATACCTATGATAAAGTTTAATTTATACATGAGGCACAGTATGAGATTAAAAAAAGTTATATAAATACAGTCTTGAAATATCCTATTTAGTATATGTGTTGCTGAAGGGAGCACTCTCTCTGAAAACACCTTATTCTTCTATACTCACCTTTCTTATGAGATGACAAAATGCCTACGTGACGAAATGAAGGGAGGTGAATGACACATGTTGTAACATGGCACTAGGCACTTCTGACCCTCTGACAGTAAGCCTGAAGGATCACTGCATCCCAGCTGCGGCTGACAGCAGGTAACAAACCATGGAAAGTGGAACCATGGATAAGGGGTTGGGGAGACTGCTGTCATAACATTTAAACTGAATTCCTGTTTAGAGACGAAGGTCATATAAAGCTGTACTTTATACAAGATACCTGAAATTACACAAACTGAGAAGCGAGGAGGGACAGATGTGCTCCCTACTAGACCTGGAAAGGATCCCAGACCTTTATTTCAGAAAACTTTTTTTTTTAGACAAAGGTCTTGTGTATTTCCGATAGAACATTTTTAAAAAGATTTTATTTATTTTTAAAAAGCTTTTATTCATTTAAAAAAGATGTTTTAAAAAGATTTTTTTTAATTTTTTTTAAAATATTTTTTTTCTTTATTTATTTATGATAGTCACATAGAATGAGAGAGAGAGAGGCAGAGACACAGGCAGAGGGAGAAGCAGGCTCCATGCACCAGGAGCCCGATGCGGGACTCGATCCCGGGTCTCCAGGATCACGCCCTGGGCCAAAGGCAGGCGCCAAACCACTGCGCCACCCAGGGATCCCAAGATTTTATTTTTAAATAAAAACTACAGATAAAACTTTTTATCTTTAAAAAATAAAAATTTTTTAATAAAAGATTTTATTTACTCATGAGAGACAGAGAGAGAGAGGCAGAGAAACAGACACAGGCAGAGGGGGAAGCAGGCTCCATGCAGGGAGCCTAATGTGGGACTCAATCCCAGGATACACCCTGAGCCAAAGGCAGACGCTCAACCACTGAGCCACCCAGGCGTCCCATTATTTTTAAATGTATTTTTAAGTAGCCCCAGTGTGGGGCTTGAACTCATGACCCTGAGATCAAGAGTTGGATGCTTAGTCAACGGAGCCACCCAGGCGGCCCTCCTAGAGAACATTTTTCAAAAGGATAGAAAAGCACAAAGGAAAAAGGAAATTGCCCCCCTATTTCCATGACCAAAACCACCACTTAAGTTTTGTTATTTTTCTTTATGGCCTTTTTATACACCTATACTGTATCTCACATATTCCTTGGGTCATGTTGTATATACTAATTTTTTAAGGAGGATAAAAGGCTTTGCTTAAATTTTTTTTATCAGCCGTTTAAACTTTTTTTTTTTTTTTTTATAAATACATGGCCATGATAAATTTCAAACTGCAGAGGGAAACAAGGATCAAAATAAAAGCCACCATCCTGTCTGCCTGTCCCGCCCCCTCAGCAAAAACTACTGGTAACAAGTTTCTTGTGTAGGTAGGGATCCTGTTTATGTTTTTCAAATATACATACTTTATAAATTCTAGCCTCTTAAGGTAACAGAGGAAAGAACTTTTGACCATTACGCAGATCAGGTCTGGCCTGACTGGCCGCCAGCAACAATAAGCGTAAGTTTTAGGAATAAACACTTGTCCCCACTGTCAGTGATGTTTTATTAAGAAAACAGACAGGAGTTCTGAAACAGGAAGGTCCCAAACCTAGGAAATAAGTCTGAGGTCAGAATCCATTAAGGCCTGAGTGGCCAACGAGGGCAAGTTTATAACCAGGGAACAGTAACAGCAAAGCTAGTTAGCAGCCTGAATTAAAATTCCACGTTGCTAGGCTCTGGAAGGGAGTGAACCATGAGAAAATAATTTACAGAGCACAATTACAGATTAAATAGCTGCAGGTGTCCTTTGCTTTTCAAATGTTTGCATTACATCACTTCGCTTTTTATAGAAGACCTACATTATTGGTACCTATTTCCACTAACCGAAACAAATCCAAAGAGGATTTTCGTTTTTACAAAAAAAAAAAAAAAAAGAAAAAGAAAAAGAAAGAAAGAAAAAAGAAAAAACACAGCGCTGGGTGTTTGTTTTGCAGCAAGCGTTAAAAGGGGCAATGCGCAGTCCAGAAACTACACTCAGCATTGGGCAGCCAGAGCTTCGAACTGTGTCTGTGAACATCTGTGCTATCTTGATTTAATTTGTGCATCGGTTAGCAAGAGATAGGTTCCAAGCTATCAGAAAAATCCGAGAGAGGTTGGGGGGGCGGGGGAGGTGTGTCTTGAACGCTCAAAAAATAACTACCGGTAATGCTCCATATAAACTACCGGTAAGCACTGCTCCACACCATTTTGGCTCAGGAAAGGTTTCCTAGGAATGCCCTACTTTCAGATGGGGGTAGGGGGATACCTGTCTGTATTCTGGTTTGAAACATGTTAAGTCCTCTCTTATCACATGTGCCATCTTGTGGTGACTCCATGACATTTCTTTTAAGCCACTGGTTTTCTTTGCTCTCAGTGCAGATTTAACAAGAATTATCTGTGTTAATCTTCCATTATTTGTATTTGGTTAGGAATCAGTGTTGTACCCAAAGGATGGTTATGGTAAGGTGAGCTCTCTTAGTAAAAATAAGATTTCTAAAAAATCAATTTTGGTGGTAATTTACTGAGAAAATATCTAAAATGGGTACATTTTCTCACAAATGGATTACTATCCAAAAGTTCCTTTGTAGGTTGGAAATTTACACTTATTTTTTGTGGACAATGTTATAATTGGTGGTCAGGTTCCCAGACAGACCAAAAAAGCAACATTTCTATCCCAGAAATGCTGTACTAGGCAGTGGAATGGAAAAACAAAACAAAAATAGAACATGCTATTGTGGTGTGAGTCATATTCTAAAAAGTCATAAAATATATTAAAACACAGACCATGTCTGAGACGGATCTCTACAGCCCCAAGGCCAGACTCGCCTGGCTTGGAACTCCTTGTTCTTCCTGAAGTTTTGGGTAGAGCTGCTGCAGACACAGGCAGAGGAGAGATCTGTCCTGTATTTGCAATACTCTAAGGTAGAGGGAAGGGGTTCCTTGAGGCCTCAAAGGCTGGAAGTTACTTTGTTCTACTGGAAAGAGATGTTGATGCGTGTGTGCATTTTAGAAATTGCCTATGGATGGAGCATATTTCGAAAATATTGCTAAGAATATTATTACATTTAATTCTGAATGCCTTTGGGTACGCTTTAGACCAGATCTAAGTAACTCTGGTTACTGGAAATGTGGAAAGGCCAGAACAAATTTTAAAAGGGCTACAGTGAGGCTGTCTTGGAATCCCATTTGATAACTGTAGAAATAACTTCAGTGATGTTGAATATTTGGAGTAGGGCTTTACATTTGGTCCTTTGAAAATGCTCGTGCATTTTTCTCTCAATTGTGCCAGAGAACACAGACCAATATAATAAAACGCTGATGATCAACCCAACTAATCAGAGCCTTTGATTACTCTACCTTTTTTATTTTATTTTATTTTTTTTATTTATGAGAGAGACACACACACACAGAGGCAGAGACACAGGCAGAGGCAGAAGCAGGCTCCATGCAGGGAGCCCGATATGGGACTTGATCCCCGGTCTCCAGGATCACCCTGGGCTGAAGGTGGAGTTAAACTGTTGAGCCACCTGGGCTGCCCTACCTTTATGCTATTTATGCTATGTTTTTATGCTATTTCTTAAAAAATGGCATTTGAGAAAAATGCCCACAAATATGAGAGGTTTACTTTCACGGGATGTCTCCTGAGATCCTATTTAATTAGGTCAATCTCTGTTGCCTTCTACCTCTGTATAACTGATCAAAATCAACCACCCAGACATCCATTATTAACTTAAAAGTGGTTTTCAAAATATTTTTCAGCAAATAATGACTAAATCAAAAGAATGTTTCTAACTGCAAGGTGAGCAAAAAAAAATTCAATTAACCAGCATTATTATCTCTCAAAGATTCCTTTTAATCAATCATGTATAATTCAACCTGGTGATGGTGGGGGAAGCCCACTACATCTTGTCAGTAAAAGGTAAACTGATTTTCAGAAAAGCAAACAAATGACAATCTACTGATAAATGAAACAACACATTTTCACAAACGAATTTTGAAACGCATACTTGGGAATAAAAATAATTTACTTTCTTAAGCTCATGAAAAGGCTTTTAATAAATGTTAACTGAACTTACTCTTTTTTTTTTTTTAAGGGATACTAAAGATAGGGGACTCAGAAATTTAATCCTCTCTTAATAAGCTTGATGCAATAAGCTCTTAATAAGCTCTCTTAATAAGCTCTTTGCACTTTCAAGCTGCTTCATTCGTACCTTGGTGCTTCCATCCCCCGTAAGCAACACGTGGAACAGGTCTGTGACGTAATCAGTAAGCATGTGCTGGTGGTCGTTGGTCACGGTCATGTTTGTTAATAGTCTCAGCCCAGCCAGCTGCACGGCAGAGTCCAGGGGACCAGAGAGGACATCCTTACAGACTTGATTGACGTATACCTGGGAGTGGGGAGGGAGTGAGCATCTTAGAATCTCTAAAAATTCATCTTTGAAGCAGTAACTTTTCTGCACGGCAGAGAAGGGCAGTTGTTCATGGGGAGGCTGGATCCTCAGAAAAGATGGCTTTCCAGCCCTCCAACTTTGGTAAAAAAATTTTTTTTTGAGCTACCTTTGTTAATACCAGGCAATGTGTGAGCATTTTACAAATACGCTTCACTTACTCTATAACACAGCTCTAGTGAGGTAGGTGTTGTTAATGGCCATTTGACAGACAAAGACAAGTCCTCAAAGAACTTAGATCAATAATCAAGCCAGCGAGTAGGGAAGCGATGTCCAATTCCAGAGACCATGCTCCCAACACCAGTGGTCTCTCAATTGTGGGGGGCCTCCCATCTCAGGCTTCCTTTCTGTGTCAGCTGGTGTGGACACATGAGGATGCCGGGGAGACCTGTCTGGCCATCCTGCATCACGCTAAACACATTCACAACACGGTCTAGGAGCTGCATCATGTTAGAAGTAAAGAATAGGGCGATCGAAGTGAAACAATTTTTTTCTAGGGTTCTATCAAAAGTAAGCAGAGGCAAAATTGTCTTTGGCCCAATTTTCTTATTTACCTGGGTACATCTGAATGAAGTGCTCCTTCCTGATGCTGTAACTGCCACTGGCAAAACGTAATGCAATGCCGGTACCACTCCAATTTCAGACATGCTAGAACTAAATGCACCGTGATGGAAAAGTTTCTGAAACTGCTTTCTATTTCTGGCCAGGATCTTTCCAGCTTGGTAAATTATGTCTCAGATAATCACTATTCACCTAACTGAAAACTCCACCAGAAATTCTAACCGATAAGAAAAGTTTCCTAGTATAAAATGCTAATGACCAATTGTCCCATAAGCCAGTATTAAGTTAAAAAAAAAAACCCCAAAGTATCCACGTTACCATAGAAACCAGAGTAATGGCAGAAAAGCAAAAGGGATTAAACGACTTGTGTTGACAGATGAATAAATAAAGCGAATGTGGTTTGTATATACAACAGAAAATCATTCGGGCATGAAAAGGAAGGACATTTTGCCATTAGCAAGAAATGGATGGACCATGAGGGTATTAGGCTAAGTGAAATAAGACAGGAAGACAAATACTGAAGATGGCACCTATATGTGGAATCTAAAAAAGGTCAACTCACAGAAACAAGAGTGGCATGGTGGTTGCCAGGGGCTGAGGGATAAAGGAATTAGTGAGATTTTGGTCAAAAGGTAGAAACTTCTAGCTTTAAGGTAAGTTCTGGGATATAATGTATAGCAGGGGGACTGTATTATATACTTGAAAGGCACTAAAAGAATAGATCTTAAACATTCTCACCAGGTTGACAAAAAGGTAACTATGTGAGGTGATGGAGGTCTTAGCTAACACTATGGTTTTCCCTTTCATTTATAGTAAACCTACCCATTTATGATTTCAGGTAACTTACCTTTATCTTGACTTGATTTTCAACATTCACACTCAGGTTATTCAACGCATTTAAAGCTTTCTCTTTAATGCTGTGGTTGGGATTGTTGATTTTGCTTCCAATGATTGGAATACCACCCAATTCACGTATAATGACCTAAGAGGGGAAAACACAGGACCATCACTTCAATATGCACCCCCTTCATCAAATTTTTTGCATCCACAAATACTGATACAAATTAATGACTCTTTGGAAACACCTTTCCTATGCACAATCTGTAATTCTTATTTTTTTAAAAATTACTTTCCATATTTTAAAGGTAAAGAAAATAGATTGAAAATAAATTAAGATATGTAATTATTTAAAAACTGTAACTTGAAGATCTACGATGAAGATTTGTACAGCTACTAAAATGAACTCAAAGCAATTTGCAAACATGATTTTACTTTGAAATAAGATATGACTTAATAAGATATGAAATAAGATATGACTATAATAGAAAATTATAGGCACATTTGGAAAATTAGGATACTAAAGTAATGTTTTGCTAAAATGTATTTTTTGGAATACAAATCCCTGAAGATAGTAATAGTCGTTCCATTAAAAAAAAAAAAAAGGAGATTCCACAGTTAATTAAGTAAGTTAGAGAAACTCTGGGCATAGTAAGTGTAGACACTTAATATAGTGAAGGATCCATTATGCACTGGGGATCTCCAAGAGCTTTTCCATGAAGTATACACAAAAGAAAGGGTCATTTTTCAGTGTGTCTGTGTGTGTGTGTAGGGGAGAGGAAACCCCTATTAACATCTTGAAGAATTAGAGTTCTACACAATCTGGGAAATGATGCCCAAATTTTCCAAGAAAAAATAATCTGGGGATTTCTCACAATTGGTTGCAAGACTATGCTACTCTGTGCCTTTGGCCCCAACACTGGATGATATTTTAATTCTTACAAGAAAAATAAGCTGAAAATTACTCCTGTCAAAACAAAACATGGCCTTCTATGAGAAAAAGAATGAAAGAGTATCATGGTGTCATCTGCTCTTTACCAACAGCCCCAAACTCTACCATCAAGAGTGGGCTCAGCATTAGGACAAAAAAACAAAAAACACCTTTGCTGTGCAAGTTGGGCTCTTCCTGAGGATTTGTGATCACTAGAAATTTTTTTTTTTAAGATTTTATTTATTTATTCACAAGAGACACAGAAAGAGGCAGAGACACAGGCAGAGGGAGGAGAAGCAGGGCTCCCTGCAGGGAGCCCAATGTGGGGCTGGATCCCGGGACTCACCCTGGGCTAAAGGTAGCCACTCAACCACTGAGCCACCTGGGCATCCATCCCTGTAATCACTAGAAATCTAACTGTTTTTTGACTATAAAAGCAGATCAAGGCACTATGATTTCTGACAAGGAGCACGGACCCCCATCACCCAAGAAAGCACTCGTTGGAACAGTGGCTGTGTGGATCCACTCCCACTATGGTTTGTTTCAGAGGGATATTAAAACTATGGCATCAGAAATAGCTCTGGAGGCAGCCGCTTTCTTTCTATCCCTGTAATGAAAACTTCTTTGCGGCCAGAGAGACAAAAAACCAGGACACAAAAAGACACAGGGATAGGGATCCCTGGGTGGTTCAGTGGTTTAGCACCTGCCTTCGGCCCAGGGCATGATCCTGGAGACCTGGGATCAAGTCCCACATTGGGCTCCCTGTGTGGAGCCTGCTTCTCCCTCTGCCCGTGTCTCTGCTTCTATCTCTTGTGAATAATAAATAAAATCTTAAAAAAAAAAAAAAAAGACACAGGGATAAGCAAGAGCCAAGAGATGGCGGGAGAGCGAGCCCTGGTAACGTGGTAACGCTCTCAGTAACTTCAACTGTCTTCACTTGTGCCCAAAGCCAGTGCTATGCTTGGATGTACAAGTTAACGGAGCTCAGTATTTTCCCTTTTGGGTTTAAAATAATTTAAGATGGGTTCTGTCACTTGCAACTGAAAGAATATGAGTAATCAACAGATATTCTTTAAATTCCCCCATAAACCTCAAGAGCTTTACTGTAAGCCTTGCCACACTGGAAAGTATTTGAAACAGAGTATAAATTCAACCTCATTTTGTTTCCATGACAAAGTCAGCGAAAGGCATTAACTGAAAATCATTACACATTTTTTTCTGACTTTTTCTCCATAGGGATAATGGGGAAAAGGAAGCATTTAAATTGAGCTCCTTAGACTTGGCGTTAAGACTCTACTGGTAGAAGCTGTCTACATGCTTAGTGGTTGTCAGTGGCCCAGGGCCCAGCATCAGAACCATGCCCCCAAGATCTACATACCACGAAAAGTATATACTTGATGTTAGCAATGCTGTCAGTAATGCTTGCTGAATTTTCAAGAATTAAAAAGGCCATGCAATGCTAAGTGGGGAGCAGATAACACTTACCACAAATGTGATGCCTGTGACCAACCTCATAAGGATCTAGAATCCCAGTAACACTCATGTCCCTATTTGGCTGTGCTTTTCAGAAGTAAACAGACATTATGCTGTAGCTACACATCCCCAAACCATATAGATGAGGAGAGCGAGGTACTGGGATTAAGTACCTTACCAGGGTCACAATTAACTGCTACTGTGTAAGGAGTTACACAGGAGGCACCCATTCTGAAACTAGGTACTTACTTGGTTAGCTGAAAAGGCTGCATTGTTACCCAGAGTGACCAAAGCTTTTTCAATAATTACAGGATCATCAGTTGACTCAAGCAGGTAGAGGAGTTTCTGGAGCTGGTCAACATTTAGGACATCATCGTATGAACCATTGATTAAGTCTTCTGCAAAAGAACAAAGTTATTTAAAATCAATATGAGATTAAAAAAATTTTTTTAACAGAGTGCATAAGTGTATGAGCCGGGGTTAGGGTGAAGAGGGAGGAGGAGCCTGACATGAGGCTTGATCTCATGACCCCGAGATCTGGACCTGAGCTGAAATCCAGTCTGACACTTAACTGACTGAGCCACCCAGGTCCCCCTAAATTTTTTTTTCTTTAAAGACTTCATTTGAGAGAGAGAAAGAGAGAACATGAGCAGAGTGAGGACGGGCAGAGGGAGAAGCAGACTCCCTGCTGAGCCTTATACAGATACTTGACCCCAGGACCCTGAGATCATGACCTGAGCTAAAGTCAGACACTTCACCAACTGAGCCACCCAGGTGCCCCTAAAATTTTTATTTATTTATTCACCAGAGACACACAGAGGCAGAGACACAGGCAGAGGGAGAAGCAGGCTCCATGCATGGAGCCCGATATGGGACTCGATCCTGGAACTCCAGGACCGCACCCTGGGCCTAAGGAAGGTGCTCAACTGCTGAGCCACCCAGGTGTCCCTAAAAAAAAAATTTTTTTTTAAACAGTATCGAATGCACTCTGATGCCAGGCACAGTTTTAAGCACTTCATATGTTTTATCTTCAAGTAACCTCTGGAGGAAGATATTTTTTATAATTCTCAATTTACAATTTATGGACTTATTATTATTATTATTATGTCCAAGGCTTATGGACATTAAGAAATCAGCCAGCAGGGGCACCTGGGTGGCTCAGTTGATTAAGCATTTGACTCAGGGTTGTGAGTTCAAGCCCCACATTGGGCTTCATGCTCAGCATGGAGCCTATTTAAAAAAAAAAAAGAGAAAGTAATGAGCCAATGGTCACTTGGTACACTTCTCTCTCAGTAAGGCACTGCAATGCTTGACCATTTTCTGTCTCTTTTAAAGACCAGGTACTTGCATCCAAGGGAACACTTGCCTGGAGGCACAGTTTTTCATTAAGGAAATGGATTTGCATTAAATGGACTTTTTCTGATCACAGTGTTCAGGCTGGAGAGAACTCCATGAGAGTAGTCATGTTGGTAGGGTGGCGTTTTTGTTTGGTTGACGTGAACGTGGTGTGATGACTGGGCTGCTAGAATAACAGCCCTGCTGGGGGCAGAGAGAAAAGCAACGCTTTCATTTTGAGTAAATGCCAGAGCAGTCAAATGCTGGATCTGGTCACTTCTGGTCACTGGTCAATTCTAAGTCACTACTCAGAATTTATAGCTTTACTTTTGAGGGAAAAAAAAAAACTATTTACAGAAATTACCACAGGAAAAACAGAAACAATTTTATAACCCCATCATTGTGTTATAAACATAGAACAGGATTCCTGAGAAATGAAACTAGGATTACATGTTAGACAATGCACCGTCCACAGAACACTGCCTGGGGAGGGCGGCTTACAACAGTGGGTGCTATATGATGTCGCAGCTGCACCTTTTCTTAGTCTTCTTTCTTTCTTTCTTTCTTTCTTTCTTTCTTTCTTTCTTTCTTTCTTTCTTTCTTTCTTTCTTTCTCTCTCTCTCTCTCTCTCTCTCTCTCTCTCTCTTTCTCTCTTTCTCTCTCTTTCTTTCCTATCTATCTATCTATCTATCTATCTATCTAATCAGATTACGTATCTGAGTGAGAGCGCCCATGGCGGGATGAGGGAGAGCCAGAGATCTCAGGACCCAGAGATCATGACCTGAGCCACCCAGGTGTTCCTGTGCTTCTATTTTTCAAATACTGAATTATTAAAGGTGGTTATCTTTGGGCATTGGATTATGAATGACTTATTTTCTAACCTGTGCTTATGAGCACTTTATTTTTTTACAATAATTACATATTACTCCCGTAATGAAGATAATTAAGTATACTGCTTAAAGATGAATCACCGACAAATATGATGGAAAGGGACAAGTATACAGATTGTGGGAAACAGTAAGTGCTATGTCCACCTGAGAAAGCCAAATAAGAAACCTGTTCGGAAAATTTAAAAGCTGAAAAACCAGCTCCTAAGTTTTATACTTAGGGCCTCTGGACTATGCTTTTACTCCTGAATCTATTACCTGCCTCATTTGCACTTTATAAAGCAATATTTCACTCCCAAGAGATTTGAAAAGTGAAACAATGACAAAAACAGATTTTTAGAATGGAAAGAATTTGGGGGGGGGGTGTTCATCCAAATTTCTCTTTTTACACACCAGGAAACTGAAGGCAGGATTAAGGATTTGCCTGAAGCCACACATGTAGTTAGTAGCAAAAACCAGAGAAAGGAAAATACAAAGTGCAGGCAAGTCACTCAATCTCTTTGGGGTCTCGGCTTTCTCAGCTATTAAAAAAAAAAAAAAAAAAGAAAGGAGTCGATCTAAGACTGTAACTGGTTCCAAAGGTGCCTATGCACCTTTCAAGTTGTGTGATTTGGTACACATATATGTGGCAGAAAACAAAAAACCGGATTAAAAAGTGGGCAGACTACTTGAATAGGCATTTTTCCAAAGCAGACATACAGATGGCCAGCAGGTCCATGAAGAGCTGCTCAAAATCACTAATCATCAGGGAAATGCAAGTCAAAACCACAGTGAGCTATCACCTCACACCTGCCAGACTGGCCATTACCAAAACCACAAATAACAAGGTTGGTGAGGATGTAGTGATAAGGGGACCCTCATGCATTGCTGGTGGGAATGTAAACTGGTGCAGCCGCTATACACAACAGTCTGGAGAGTCCTCAAAAATCTAAAAATACAATTACCATAGGATCCAGCAATTCCACTTCTGGGTTATTTATCTGGAGAAAATGGAAACATTAATTTGAATAGAAATACACGTACTCCTTTCTTGCAGCATTTTTTATAATAGCCAAGGTGTGGAAGCAATCTAAGTGTCCACTGAATAGGTAAAGAAGTAGTAGTATAGGGCAGCCCGGGTAGCTCAGCAGTTTAGCGCCGCCTTCGGCCCAGGGCGTGATCCTGGAGACCCAGGATCAAGTTCCACGTCAGGCTTCCTGCATGGAGCCTGCTTCTCCTCTGCCTGTGTCTCTGCCTCTCTCTATGTCTCTCATGAATAAATAAAATAAATAAAATATTAAAAAAAGTAGTAGTATATATACACAATGGAATATCATTCTGCCATAAAAATAAGTGAAATTTTGCCATTTGCAACAACATAGATGGACCTCGAGGGTCTTATGCTAAGTGAAATGAGTTAGAGGAAAACAAATACCACATGACTTCACTTATAGGTGGAACAAACAAAACAAAAACCAGAAACAGACTCATAGATACAAGAAACAAACCGTTGGTTACCAGAAGTGGGAGGGATTTGGGTGCAGGAGATTAAGAGGTACAAACATCCAGTTATAAAATAAATAGATCATGGGAATGTATAGGAAGCACAGGGAAAGTCATCAATAGTATTGTAATAATTTTTTTATGACAGATGGTAACTAGAGTTATCATGGGGATCACTTTGTAATGTATAAAAATAACAAAAAAGTTTATCAGAAAGAATAATATTCAAATGTCCTTTTATTATGAGGTCATGTGTTTTTACTTTTAATCTATTAATGCTATAAATTACATTATTATATTTCCCAATATGAATCTTCCTTATGCATCCACTTGGCCTTGTGTATCACTACTTTAATGCCCTGATGGATTTGATTTGCTAGTATTTTACTGAAATCATTATATCTTATTCATAATTGAGACAGATTTATAGTTTTTTCATGTTCTCCTTATCAGGTTTTGGTATCAGGTTGTTAAATAAATGAGTTTGCTACTATTTCCATCTTTTTCAGTGCTCTCAAACAGTCTTAGCAGTAAGGAATTACAATTTAAGTTGAAGACCAAAAAAAAAAAAAAAAATCACTTGGTTCTGGTTTGAGATGGCGACACAAGAAAATCCTGAACTGACCTCCTCACCCAGACACACTGAATCTATAGTTACATAGAGAGTGATTCCCTCTGAAAGAAATCTAGAAATGAGGAAAAAAAAAAAAAACCACACTAAAACTGGTAGAGAAGATGAAACACAATCTTGCCATAAACACCAGCCTCACTGCAGCAACACACCAGCAGGAGGGAACTCACAGCTCCAGCTTCTCCCTGAGGAGAAAGGGCTTTGGACCCCACATCCCGTGTTCCAGCTTTTAAGACTTCTACCTGAGATATGGACTTCCAACATCTAGCTTTGAAAGCCAACAAGTCTTGCATCCACTAGACCCCCCCAGGCTACGACAAACTGAGAGTTTTTAAAGGGCTTGAACATGTGAAGCACGGCTAACCCCCTGGGGCCAGCAGAGGCATAGACTGAGGCCTCTTTGCTTATCTTCATAACTGCAAGGCAGCGTGAAGGGCAGGCTTCTATTTTAACAAACGTCAAGGGATGGACAGCAATACTCTCCAAAGATGGGGAAGCTGGATGGGCACCACCTTTGCACTCTCCCTGTGCCTCATGCCAGGTTGCTATTATCTCCCAGAAAGGAGCCCTTGTTTTTGTGGATGCTACCCAAGACATGCCCTTGACGACCTGGCTCTGGCAGCCAGCAGGGCTTGTGTTCACAGGTTCAGTGGGATGGTAGCAAAGAAGTAGTTCACAATCAGCCATCACTCCAGGGCTCAGTTCGGAAGGTTCAGACAAACACCCCTCTCTGTCTTCACTGACAGGTATACTTCCACACTTTAAAAGCTGCTACCTGAAGGTCTGGCTTCTAATCAGCCTCTGTCTAAGCACTGAAGGAGATCCTCCCCTTTAGGACACTGATGGGTCTTGGCACACCCTCAACTATTAAAAACAGACTGCCTGGACAATCACAGAGTTTGGAGAGATGATCAAGAGCTGGGAACAGGTAAATAGTAAGGTTCATTCCCCACATGGCACTGGACAGAAAAATGTAAGAAAGTACCAAGGAGAAGTCACAGAGCTGAAAAATATCATAACTGAGCTGAAAACAACAACAAAAACAATCTATTAGAGGGATTCA